TTCTTATGAATAACTTTAATTAAGATATCAATATCGATTGACTAATAAATATTTTGACTTTACTATGTAGCTACGATCATCAATTAATTAAAAAAAAATTTTTAAAAATTTTTATTTTAAATAAAACCTCATTAATATAGTTGTAACTATTTAGAAAAGCCTTTATTCATAGTCACACCTCTCTATAATCACCATTTTTGTATTTCAAGGGTGTGACTATAGAGAGGTCTGACTGTATTGATTTTTAGAATTGACCCAATTTTAAAATTTACAGAAAGTTAGAAAACCAAATATAGAAAAATTAATTTAATATACGCATATATTATTATTAAAATAAATAAATAATGAATATATACAAGAATAAAGGTAATGAAGCCATTGTAGATCTGAATTCCTAAATTTTTTTTAGTTGGGTCATATTTTTTTTTTTTTTGAAATATGTGATAAATAAATCAATGATTTAAGGATAGTTTTATTATTAGCCTTTCGCTATAGTATTTGACAATCGATAATTATCATACTTATATAAAATTACATAAATTGCAGTAATTTTACAACCTTACTTCTATATAATACGTATATAAAATCACTCTCTATTTAGTCACATTATTATTCTAAATATTTATTTTTTTAAGAAAAATTTTTAAAATATTTTTTAAATTTTTTTTTAATTAATTGATAATCGTAGCTATATAATAAAGTCAAATATTTATTAGTAAATCGATATTAATGTCTTAATTAAAGTTATTCATAAGAATAAAATACATATAATATTAAATTTTGGTGTAATTTAGATAACTTTTTATTAATTGATATTTATACTTTACGATTCTGCGAACAAAAACTAATTTTTGTTCATACAAATATAAAGTACAAATGTCAATTAGTAAAAAGTTATCTAAGTTATACCAAAATTTAATATGATATGTATTTTATTCTTATGAATAACTTTAATTAAGATATCAATATCGATTGACTAATAAATATTTTGACTTTACTATGTAGCTACGATTATCGATTAATTAAAAAAAATTTTAAAAACTTTTTATTTTAAATAAAACCTCATTAATATAGTTGTAACTATATAGAAAAGCCTTTATTCATAGTCACACCTCTCTATAATCACTATTTTTGTATTTCAAGAGTGTGACTATAGAGAGGTCTGACTGTATTGATTTTTAGAATTGACCTAATTTTAAAATTTACAGAAAGTTAGAAAACCAAATATAGAAAAATCAATAAATCAATTTAATATACGTATATATTATGTAAAATATTTGAGTACAAACTCTAATAATAGTAATAGCAACAGTACTTTAGTGAACAAAATCTATGAGAAATAAAAAATAAAAATAAAATAGCAAAAAATTTATAATACTGTAAGCAGAGTAAAAAAAAAAAAAATTAAATTAAAATGAGATATTGTGGGCAATACCACGAAGAAAATCTAAAACTGGCATATTATTACGGTCATTTTATATCCTTTGAATTCTTGCCTCATGTTCACGATTATGCCTTCTTTGTGGAGGATGTGGCGCTCCTCTTATGACAGATTCAATATCTAGCTGTACTTGATTCTGTTCCTTTTGTATTTCCTTGATCATTCTAAAAACCCCTAAATGTGTATTACCTAATAGAGTGTTCCAACGCCTGTGCCAGGCTTCAACTGGATTCGAGGTTCTAGGAATATGAGACTCAATATTATCAACTACTGACCAAAGGTCAGGTGGAAACAAAGGCTCAGATCTAATCACATTTCTATTTCTCATTACACGCCGCACTTTACCAAGAACATAATTCTCTTCGAACCATTAAATAACTCCAATAGCTTCAATTGGCATAATATTTTTTAGTTGATTAAAAGCCTGAGGGATTTCATTAGAAGGCAAAAATGCCAATGCAGGAAGTTGTCTAATTACAAGAGAAAACATTTTTTTTTTGATTTAATAAATTTATAAGGATTAACAAATTAATATAAAGATATTAATAAAATAAGGCCACATAAAATATATGAATTGGTTCTCATTACCCGGCCAGGTCAAAGTTTAAAAACTTTTTATATATTTTAATAACCGGGTAGATTTTTTATAAAAAAAAAAAATTTATATGAAATTTGAAAAAAAAAGCCAGCTGGCTGAGTCAGATTTAAAATTTCATATTATGAGAACCAAGTAATTAACTTTGCATGGCCTAAAATAGTTTTTTTTTTTTTTTTTATGTAATGCCATTAGGCTACAAGGCTATAGGATGCTATTAGTATTAATTTATGTATTTTACAAATTTAAACCTTACCTAATTAATAAACTGAAGTTTTCGTCAGTTGAATATCGTGTTGTAAGACCAACTGTTTGCACTCTACGATAAACATTTTGAGCTAAATGAAAATGGCATCCTTTACACAGAATATTTTGAAACTCGTCCTGAATTGTATTTATAGCCGCCAACTCAAAATCAGTTAGAATAATTTGTGGTTGCAAATCTATTTCATGTTCTTCACCAAATTCAAATAAATCTTGAAACAATCTTTCATAACATTCCTTAGATTTACTTGACATTAACGCATATGCTAAAGGAAAAATACGTGAATTTTCATTTCTACCAACTTTTCCATGAATTGTATAAAGTTGCTCAAATATATTAGGTACTGTCTTATAAGTCCCATCCATGATCCAAAAGGTTGATTGTTCTAATTTACGGACATTTGAAATAGTAGTAAAAAGTAATATTCTGTTGTGACCAACAACAGAATCTTTTACTAAAAAGTCTATTCCATCTAAGGTTTTCTTTAAATTGTCTGGAATAACAAGGTCATCTAAGAACTGAGGTTCTGCTGGAAGATCTGAATGACGAATTCGTTGAATTGTCTGCTGAAGTGCCCCACGTGATAGAAGACACGAATGTACTTCTTGAAGAATACTAGAAGTTGTGTCTTGAATAATTCGAGCAGGTTTATCATAGGTTTGATGTGTTCGTTCTTTAATGTTAGAAATTGCTCTTATAACATCTGCTCAGGCTGCTTGTGCAGCATGATTATGATCTGATACTTTTTTCAAATTATGCTGACCTCTATCAAATTTAGTTACTGCACGTGCACCACAAAATAGTGTAAAGCGCTTTTCACAATACCAATAATAGGTATTATTGCGAGATCTATCTTTAACCATGAGATGACCCTCAATAACAAGTTTATTTTCACCACGAATAGAAGGAACAACGTCACAGATTATGCTATCCATTTTGAAGAAAAAAGTTTTTTTCTTCAGTAATTTATAGAATTTTTCATATCGGTTTCAGAAATAAGTTAAATATAAAATATAAAACCTGGATTATATAATTTGAAAATAGGTTTAATTATATAGCGAAACTAATCGAAGTGTATAGCAAAAAACATAAATCAAGTTTATATAAAAATGAAACCAAATTATAGATATATCATAAAGCTCAAGTGAAATCTAAATATATATGCATAAAGCGTTATAAAATGTAAGTAATATTAAATTAAATAAAGCCAAATTATTATTCAAAGATGTTAATATTATTAGGTAAAACTATTTAAGTATGTTAAGTTATTTTTATGTTTTGTTTATTTGAATTGCGTTCTAAAAAAATTATCGTAATTAGACTTTTCAATTATGTATACATCATTAGATTTAAAATATAATGACGCAAATTTTAATTTACTACACATAAAACCTAATTAGAGATGGGAAAAATAATTTATTAAGTACTGGTAATAAGAACACATAATAAAATTTATATTTAGTTTTATAATTATTTCACGTTCAAACAATCATATGTATAAATTTTTTTGCACTGCATATTTTACACTGCTTAGTTCAATTCTAAAATTTTAACTAAAAGTAATTTCTAAAATATACTATTTTGGAAATTATTTCTAAGCTGAAAATATTTTGTTTTACCTAAGTAATTTTTATTGTATAGAAAAAATAAACTTTGTATAAACAAATCTGCATACGTAGTAAATATGAATCTAATTACGTAATTATATAACGTAAGATGTTGATTAATTATCTATAATAATATCACAATTCTAACAAGAACCAAGTTCACTGAAATGAAAACTATAATTATTACTTACTCATTTCTACTTGGTTCAATCTTAGTCATTAAGAAGATTTATAATATAAGTACAAATTAGTTGACCAATACAACTATTTTACTATTAATTCAAGGCAGCGAAGCTGTCTATATTCTAGTTAAAAGTATAAAGATAATTATTAATATAATTAAATCATAAATATAAATAATTATCTTTAGATACTCATTTACAATTAATTACATAACGATAATAGTCGTTAAAATAGCAAGAATACAAAGATAATTTACTAATATTAATTAGTGCAATTAAAATCACGAACATAAATAATATTTATAAATATCTATCTCTAAATACTTATTTATAATTAATTAGCTAAGACTTAAAATAGAGAGAATATAAAATTATAAACATAAAAACTTATTTATAAATGCTTATCTCTAAATACTTATTTACAATTAATTAGCTAAAACCTCTCAAATATCGAGAGTATGAAAATGATTTATTAATATTAATCAATACTAAACTTGTCAAATAGCATGAATACAAAGATGATTTATTAACATTAATCAATAATATTAAAATCTTGAACATAAAAACTTATTCATAAATGCTTATCTCTAATACTTATTTATAATTAATTAGCTAAAACCTCTCAAATATCGAGAGTACAAAAATGATTTATTAATATTAATCAATAGTATTAAAAAGTATAAATATAAAAACTTGCAGTATTTATATAAACACTTATCTCTAAATACTTATTTACGATTAATTAACTAAATTGGTCAAATAGCTGAGTACAAAAATGATTTATTAACATTAATCAATAATATTAAAATCTTGAACATAAAAACTTATTCATACTGTAAATGCTTATCTCTAATACTTATTTACAATTAATTAGCTAAAACCTCTCAAATATTGAGAGTACAAAAATGACTTATTAATATTAATCAATAGTATTAAAAGTATAAATATAAAAACTTAAGTATTTACATAAACACTTATAATTATCTCTAAATACTTATTTATGATTAATTAACTAAATTGGTCAAATAGCGTGAGTACAAAGATGATTTATTAACATTAATCAATAATATTAAAATCTTGAACATAAAAACTTATTCATACTATAAATGCTTATCTCTAATACTTATTTAAAATTAATTAGCTAAAACCTCTCAAATATTGAGAATACAAAAATTATTTATTCATATTAATCAATAGTATTAAAAGTATAAATATAAAAACTTACATTATTTATATAAACACTTATCTCTAAATACTTATTTACAATTAATTAACTAAACTTGTCAAATAGCGTGAATACAAAGATGATTTATTAACGTTAATCAATAATATTAAAATCTTGAACGTAAAAACTTATTCATACCGTAAATACTTATCTTTAATACTTATAACTAATTATCTAATATCTTTCAAAAATGTGAGTATAAAGATGATTTTATATACATTAATTAGTAATTTAATATCGCAACATAAATATTTATTCATAAATACCTACTGGTATTTCAGACCTAAGACCTAGTTTTCATGTTTTATGAATACCGATAATACAAATACTTCAGGTATATTAGACATCTATGTTTTTTTTTCAGGAGTATCCGTGACAGAGTTCTGGACTAGGAATGGGACCCAAACTATTTGGAACGTCTCAAGTAGTTTGGGTCCCATCTATAGTCTGAACAGTAAGTTCTTTACTCCACTCTGCCAAGCTAAAGACTAATTAAATTGTCGACAGATTATAATAATTAGAAATTGTAACTAAACTTGTTAAATTGACAATCGGTGAAATGAATTAAAAATTAATAAAATTTAGTTTCAGTTAAATAATTATTAATTAAATTAAATTGTCGGTGAAATAAACTTTCAATGAACTGAATTTGTCGATGAGATAATATTTTATATTAACTGTATCTGTCGATCGAATAAACTGTCAGTGAAATAAATTGTCTTTGAAGTATAAATTTCTGTAAGCTAATATGTCTGTGAATTGAAGTATCGATGATCTGGTTTTCGGTGAAATAACATGAATCCAAAAAAAAGTAATATAGTATAAAATATTTATAGTTTTTTACTTTGTAGCTTATTTAAGCTTTTCTTTAATAAATAATAGGCAAGATCATCTAAGTATAAAAAAAATAAAAAAAAAAGTAACAAGAAAGATCAACACAAAACTAAAAACAAAAAACTTCAACAGAAAATTTTTTTTTAGTTTTTTTAGAGATTAGAAATTATTCTAAATTTTAGATCAGTTATTATAATACAAATACTGTATATGAAAAATAGTATATACAAACAAACATGATTTGAGAATTAACAAGATATATTACATGTTAGCTAATAGAAAGAATCTAATAGCAGTAAAGATTTTTAAAGATAATATAGAACAAAGAAAAAAATTAATTAGATAGTCTCTAAGAAAAAACAAGTATATCAAAGCAATTCAAGAAAAATTTGTAAATAAAAACCAATAGTGTATTATCTACTTTAATTATAAAAAAAGGTATAAAGAAGCTAAGTTAAGATTAGAAAAAAAGAAAAATGAATTTGACTAGCTAAATCTAATACTTGAGAAAAAGGTTATAAAAGAAAGTTAAGAAAGAAAAAGTTAGACAAAACAAAATAAAAAAAAAAAGAAGTAAGAAAGATTTAAGCAAAGAAGAAGCTCAAAGAAATATAAAAGAAGAAATTTACTTTATATAACACTGGTTGAAAAGGTAAAATTCAACCTCTAATTAGAAGTTGAATTTTACCTTTTCAACTAGTATAACTAAATTAAAAAAGATGAGTACTTAACAAGTAGTATAAGTAAAAAAAGAAAAGAGATAATATTTAACCAAACAGAAAAAAAAAAATATTATCAATAAAAAACAAAATAAAAAAAAGAATATACAAATAAGAGACTCTTTTAAATAAAAAAAAAGTTATTAGTAAAAATAAAAACATAGCTAAAGAAAGAAAACTATATCTAAGCAAGAAAAAAATTATCACTATATAAAATATACTCTATTATATATTAAAATCATAAGTTTTTTTTGCAATCAAATACTTGAGACATGTTAAAAATATTGAAATAATAAGAGAAAACTATGAAAAAACAAAAGTAGAAATAATTTTTGAAAAAGAAAGTAGCTTTATACAAGGAATTGAAGCTTGAATTATTCCTCTTACAAATGAACTCTTAGTATATATAACTCTAAAATCAAACAGAAAAGAGATACTAGAAAATAGAAAATAATTTATAGTAAAGTTATATAATATTTTATAAAATATAAATAAAGTATATTGTTTAGACAACTAAAACTTACTGGTGCAGGTCTAGTAATCTTAGTGTAGTAGTTAGGTTGCCAGACTGCTATACAAGAAGTTAGGAGTTCAAATTCTACTATTGATAAATTTGAATAATTACTCAAATCTTTATATTCAACTTATAGTAAACTCTGTTTGTTTTTGAAGTTGTAATCTTGTAAATCTCATTATACCAATATTATTTAAATATTAGAAGTATAATATAATGTTAAACAAATAAATCTTGATAGAATCTACAGGCAGAAGATCTGCATAGTAGAAAATCTAAGTTGGTAAGGTAGTATAGCTTTCAATAGTCATATTAGCTAATACTTGATCTGAATAGAAACTATTATTCAAAAGATGTAGATCGAGTTAGATATGAGTAAATCTGTTTCACAAAAAAAATTAGCAATACCAATCTAGCTTAGTAGCAAACTAAATTGAGAGGATCTACTTTATAAAATATCTGAAGAGATCAGCAAACAACATTAGTAGAGAGCTACAGTAAGAACTTAGGTTATACAAATATTACAAAAATCTAAACTAAATAAACTCATGAAATAGGTATAGGCTATATTAGTAAGAATACTTACAAAATTAACTAGAGCTCTACATGTTCACAAAATTTTGAGTGATATGTATTTAAGAGGACTTAAGTTGAGTTAGGTAAATAGATTTGTAATGAGCTAGTTAGCTTAAGTAGTTAGATATTATAGTAATATTAGTTGATTCTAATATGAATTAGTTAAACAGAATATTTAAATAAATAATTCACAAGTAGGTTACAGGTATAGTAGCTTGTATAGAACTAAACAGAGGATCTACTTATATAGCAAACTACTTAAATTAGACAATGACTAA